TGTCCCAGGGGTCTCCACCCGGGAGTTGCTACGGTTCCCTGTCTATGCTTTGGAAGCAAGTTCCAAGTCTAGCCACTGCCAACAGTGTCACAGCTCTATCTGCGGAGGAGGGAATACCCACGTACATTTTTTTGGAATCCTGTAGAAAAGATTTGTGTCTTGAATTCTTTATTTAGACCAGCATGGCCTCATGCATGTTTGGTTCTCTGGGTTATAATCCAAGGCCGCAAGCTTTGTTCCAGGCTTGGCAGCGGGAGCACCTGCGTTCCTGTGCCATGTGCTGGCCTTTGGGTTTTGACCACTTCCTTTCTGGTGCTGCAAGAAGCACCAGGCTCATTTTGTATTTCTCGGCTCAATTCTAGAACCAGCCACTCCTCCAAGGAGCCTTGGTTTATCTGGATACTTTGACCTTTAGAAAATGCTAGAGGTTTCTTGGGGTAATCTGGCTTCACACTTTCCTGACCGCCATCCTAGGACCAGAGCCACATCCGAAACACACACTGCACAGGTGACTTGCCCGTACTCCCCGGGAAGCACCCTGACGCTCTGTGCTCGGTCTGCTACTGTCGTCGTTGGTAATGCGGGTCTCGCTGCGCTGAAGTGATGTCTGAACCTGCTGGTGGGGGATCCAGTCTACCCACCATCAGACAAGCCCTGACCCAGCTGTCATCTGAGGGTCACAATGATTGGAACTAAATATAATGAAGTTACTTGTGCAGTGACTATTTAGTACCTATAGACCGAAGTAGGAAGTCCTTTATGAAGTCAAGCAAGGGCCAAGCTCATGTTCTAAAGTGCAAATCCGACCGCACCATTGTGCATGTCTCATGTCCCCAGTGTCAGACCACACAAGGCCCCCGCCTCTGCTCTGCCTGGGGTGCCCACTTTGTCGGAACAACTCCTCCCCCGTGTGAGGACTCAGCAGGCACATGATGTCCCTCCCCTGGGACACCTCCCTGACTACCCGGCACCGCACAGCTGCCACTGCACCCTCCATGTCGCCAGGTGACACTGGGTTTCCTACCCTCCCCATTGGGCCTGAGAGTCTGTCTCCAGCACTCTACACGGGCCACACACAAGCAAACACTTGGGAAACACGTCCCAAGTTGGGGGCTTGATGAGGGGCTGGAACATAACCACCAAACCCGCCTGTCCCACCACGCCCCCCTTCAGCCGACACGGTGGCCTCAGACCCTTTCTGAAACAAGACCAGTGTCACTGAGCTCAGCCCGGACAGATCCTAGCCCCGGGGCCAGGCTCGCACACGTCCTGCTCTCTCCCAGGTGGTCAAGCGGGTGCTGGCCCGGACCAGCAGCGGGGGCTTCTGCGGGAACGACGGCTTCATGCACCTGACGCTCGCCAGCCTGCCTTTCGGAGGAGTGGGTAGGTGCCAGCTGACCCTGGCCTGCTTCCATCATTCCTGAATGAATCACGACAGTGTCACTTGCACATGTCCTCACTAAAAAATGTCCCAGCCCAGCCTCAGTGTAGAAGGACAAGCAAGGGTGCCCCTCCTCACTGCCAGCGTCCCACACCAGCACCTCCATCCTGCCCCTCTCCCCAGTCTGAGGAACCTTCCAGACCCATCTCTGCATTGATACAGAATTTCGGGCGGGTCTTTTAAAGAACATAACTGATTGCCCTGCCCGCCATGTTGCTGCTCGAGTTTCTCCCCAATAGCAGGATGACTTGGTCAGCAGAGCCATCTGCTGTGTCCTCTTTGCTCCATGGCTGCCACTTCTCTAACGCCTCCCCCATCCCTGAGTCCAACCCTTGGTATGTCACCCCTTCCCACCCCGTTGGTGGTTGCTGCCCACTCCCCTGCCCTGGGGAGGCCCGGGTGGGCGCCAAGGCCACCCTCGCCCCCAGAGCAGCCCTGATGCAGCTGCACAGTCCTGGCCTCTGAGTCAGGAAACCTCAGGGCTGGGCCCAGCGATGCTCTGACAGGCTGTGCCACCTGGGGTGACTTCCCCTCTCTGAGCCCGCTTCCTCTTCAGTGAACAGGTAGGGCCAGAGCAGGTGACTCGAGGTCCCTCCACCTGTCCACACTTGGCACCAGAGTAAAGGACCACAGGGCCTGGCAAGCTGCCCCAGAGGGGCAGCTGTACCATCCCTGGAGAGTGGCCAGTGCCACAGGAGCCCCAGTGGGCTGCTGTCCCTGGCTCTGGAACCCCCTCCCTCTGGCCTCGAGCCTCGGCTCTCACCTGGGTCTCTGCGCCAGACCCTGCCTAGATCCCCGTCCAGTCCCCAGCCCTGCTCATCCCACCTCCTCTGCCGGGGAGAGGGCAGTGCTGTCTGTGGGCAATCTGACCCCGCCGCCCCCTGAGGACAACTTTCCCCAGCTCCCAGTACCCCGGGCATCAAGCCAGGCCGACTTAGCTCTTGGAGCCAGCCCTTCCTGGTCTGGCTGTGGGGTCCTGCTCCGGCCTCCCCCCACTTCCCTGCCTGAGCTCTGCTCAGGTCCCTAATATGCCAGGCATCACCCAGCTCTAAGCTCCCACCCACCCTCTTCATGTGGTTCACTCCACGTCCCGTGAGCCTCACTCGCTGCAGGAAGCCCTCCCCGATTACCCCTAACTCCACCCAGGTTGTGTCCCCCCTGGGTCCTCGCTGCCTCCCTACCTAGACGCTGAGGACTCCTAACAACACAGTGCTTACTGTGTCCACAGGCCTGAACGCTCCCTTAATCCCCGCTACACCCAGGAGGTAGGTGTCATTGTCACCCCATGGCACAGGGAAGGAGACTGAAGCACAGAGGCACAGTCACTTGCCCAAGGTGACAAAGCTAGTTCGTGGCAGAGCCAGGATTCAAGCCTGGGCAGCCTGGCTCTGGAACCCATGCCCTCGACCACTGCCTGCCTGTCTTGTCCCAACTCCTGATGTCCTCACGCTTACTGAGCTGGTGCCAGGCTTAGGCCAAGCCGTTTACCCACAATGCCTCGTGATTAGCCACTGGACAGACGGGGAAACTGAGGCCCAGAGAGGTGAAGCAGCCCGCCCAGGTCCAGGTCTGACATCCCCAGGACTGGCCCCTGAGGACCTCACTCCCTGTGTTCTGTGCTACGGTGCAGGTGCCAGCGGGATGGGCAGGTACCACGGCAAGTTCTCCTTTGACACCTTCTCCCACCATCGTGCCTGCCTGCTACGCAGCCCCGGGATGGAGAAGGTCAATGCCCTCCGCTACCCACCCCACTCGCAGCGCAACCTGAGGGTGCTGCTGGTGGCCATGGAGGCCCGCTGCTGCAGCTGCACACTGCTCTGAGCCCGGCCGGCGCTCCCCAGGCTCCTGTCTGCGTCCTCCACCACCGCTGCCACTTGGTAGAGACAGGGCCTGGGCTTGAGAGCACGCAGAGAAGAACTGCCAAGGCCACAGACCAGTGCTTGCCCTCCTCCCTCGGCCACCCCCCAACTAGGATGGGCCGTGGGGAGGGGCATGGGAAACAGTGCAGTGCCCCACCCCTCCCTGCACGCTAACCATCTGTGTCCTGGGAGAAGAGGGCAGAGGCCGCACTCTGAGCCACTGCCTTCCTATGGAGGGCGCAGCAGAGGGGCCCTAGCTTCTGGTCCAGGCCATATGGCGGAACTGCTGTGACCCAGGCTGGCCCTGCCCTCTCTGGGCCTCAGTTTCCCCATCTATGCAGTGCAGATGACTGACAGTTGACATCTCCTGAAACTGTCGTGACGATTAAATTAGGGAGCTGCTGACCCAAGGTCCAGGTGTCCTCTTTTCTCGCTCGGGTTGGGAGAGCTGCCTCCCTCTTCCCTCCCCCAGGTCAGCGGGGATTCCTGCAGCAGCACCTCCAGGTGGGCCTTTCAGAGCTCCGGACCCCTTACCCTCACCACGTCCCACCCTGGACTCATCCTCTTCCCCATCCTGCTTACCCTCCTGGGGCCCATGGACTCAGCCGCCAAAGCCAAAATCCCAGGCCTCCTGTTTGACACCGCTTCTCACGTCCCAAGTCCCATCTTTGAGCAAGTCCTGATGATTCTGTACCGCCAAGGGATTTCCCAGATCCACACCCGAATCGCCATGCCCACGGCCAGGGCCGGTGCGGCCACCATCCCCCGACCTCCCTTCTCCCCAGGCCCAGCCCCCTCCTCAGGGCACCTGCTGATCTTCCCAAAGCCTGCTGGGACCATACCACTCCTCGGCATGAAATCCAGGGGCTTCCTGTGGCCCACAAGTCCCAGATCCTTAGGAGGCTCTGCCCATGCTCTGGGGACGCCGGTCACCAGGCTCCTGCCCCTTCTGCCCGAACTTGGCCTGTCCTTGTCCTCGTCTAGTGTGCATGTCTTCTTTGTCCAAGTACCTCTGTACATACGCAGGACACGCCTCTCTGCCCTTCCTGGCCTGCCCAACTCCTACTCACTGTCAGCTTAAACATGACCTTCTCCAGGAAGCCTTCCCAGACCACCACCTCCGTCAACACACGCAGACTGCGTCAGGGGCCGCCTCGGCGCCGCAGCCTCCATCACAGAATTCACAGGGCTGGTTGAGAGACTGGGCTCCTGAGTCATACAGATCCAGGTGCAGATCAGGCGGCCGCACCCCGCAGCTCTACGGCCCAGGGACAGTTACTAAATACGTCCATGCCTCACTTTCCCCAACTGTAACGTCATACTAATAAAGTCTTGTAGCTCCTCCTCACAGGGCTGCCGTGAGGATTAAATGAAGCCGCATATGGGCAAAGCGCTTGCGCGGTGAGTCGCTGCCGGCCGTGATTCTAATCGCTGTCGCCGTCAGTACCGCTGTTACCACACGCCCCTTATCCACGGCGCCCAGAGCGACCCGGAGCCGCTTTCTAAACCAAGCCCCGGATGTCCCGCCTCCAGAGGCTCCGAAGTCGTCGCTTATTGGCCTTGTCAAACAAACATGGCGGTGTCCTACAAAACTTTAAGCACCCCCCCTCTCTCTTCTAGCCAATCAAAAGAAAGATATTTCTAGAGTCCGTATCTGCCGGTAGCTCCATTTGACCAATCAGAGCGTATCATGGAGGGTCAGCTCGGAAAAGCGAAGCCAGCTGGCCCAATGGTAGCGTCTCAGAGCGTAGGCTCCGCCTCTCGGTTGACCTACCCTCTCAGCCAGGGAAGAAGCGGCGGGGCTCAAGGTGGGTATTCAGAGCTCGATCGTGAAGGCTGGGGCTGGGCAGCGCGGCGTCGAGGCCGAGTGTAGTGTCCCTGTTGGCGCCGCCGGCTCTGCGTCGAGCTTCATCTCAGCCTGCTCAGGACCCGCGGCCACTGTCCTTCAGTCGTGTAGCGGGCTGACCGAGGAGCCGGCAGCCTCAGGGAGCATGCACCTCTTGGCTGGGCAGGCGTCTGTGGGGTCAAAGGTCATGCGAAAGGTCGGAGAAGGTGCTGGTTTGGGTGCCTGGGACCCAGTGTGTCTGCTAGAGGTTACAGGTCACTGGAGGGGCACTTTGAGCTCCGGCTAAGTGCCAAGCTCTGGGCCAGTCCCTTGGCATGTACGAACTCCCTTAGTTCTCATGACACCCCCCCCCATTTCACAGGTGAGGAGACTGAGGCCAGGTGACGTCCTCTACCCAAGGTCACGCGGCAGGCTGGGGGCCAGTTCCGAAAGCAGAGCCTTCAAGCTGGGAAAAGAATTTGATCCTGAGGATTATTTAAGCCTTTTTTTGTTTTTTTTTTGAGACAGAGTCTCACTGTGTTGCCCGGGCTAGAGTGCCGTGGTGTCATCCTAGCTCACAGCAACCTCAAACTCCTGGGCTCAAGCGATCCTTCTGCCTCAGCCTCCCGAGTAGCTGGGACTACAGGCATGCACCACCATGCCCGGCTAATTTTTTCTATATATTTTTAGCTGTCCGATTAATTTCTTTCTATTTTTAGTAGAGACGGGGGTCTCGCTCTTGCTCAGGCTGGTCTCGAACTCCTGAGCTCAAACAATCTGCCCGCCTCGGCCTCCCAGAGTGCTGGGATTACAGACGTGAGCCACCGCGCCCGGCCTATTTAAGCCTTTAAGGATTTCTAGCAGGGGAGGGCTGGGTTCTAGTCCTGGCCCATCCCCCTATCTGTGACTGGGGCTAGCAGCAGCTTCTCATGTGTAAGACGAGATGACAGTGCATGTGACCCCACACCCACCGCAGTGCCTCCCAGAAAGTTAACTCTCAGTGCATGATGGTGGTGGCTGGTAGGGTTATTTTTGGTCACACTGGGGAGGATGGAGGAGGGAAGGGAGAGATGGGCAGCAGGAGCTCTGGGAGGGGAGGGAGGAGGGATGGATTTTAAAGGCTTCTTAGGAGGTTAGATAGAACTTGGGGTCCACAGAGGCTCTCTAAACCTTAGCCCAGCTGAGCTGGGTCAGGTTGGAGGGCCAGGAGGTGCCTAACATGGGAACAGGTAGGCCATCTGTGCCTCTGACAGGAGTGGGGTGTTAGCAGGAGACGAGATGACCTGGAGTCTAGGCTCAAGGCTCCTGCAGTGCCAGAGTTCCTGGAGGGGGCAGGAACCAGCCTCCTTCCCTTTTTTTGGGGGGTGGTTAAAATAAGTCTTTATTAGTTATATCTTTCCTCGATGACAGGGTTTAGAGACCAGGTTTAAACTGGACAGCTCAGGCTGCACCACAGAATACAACCAAATGTTTGTTCAATTAATAAATCAGTAGTATAAAAATAAGTTGTAACCGTGGATGTCTTTAAAAGACTGAACTACCACAGCTCTTCTTCTGAACACATGTCCTGGATACTCTTACCAAGAAGGAAAACAAATAAGGTTTTAGGTGTCACATTGTGGGTTTTTTTGGTATTACTAATGACTGCAGGCTTTCAGCATTATGTTCCTCCCTCCCTTTTTATGCTCCCAGATGCGCTGCCTGACCACGCCCATGCTGCTGCGGGCCCTGGCCCAGGCCGCAAATGCAGGTAGGACCAAGGGAGCCTTTCCTGGGGATGGGGGAGCTCAGTCTTCTGGCATGAGGTCGCAGCCACAGAGTGTCATTCTCTCCTTGCAGGACATCCCAGTGGCCGGAGCCTCCACAGCAGTGCAATGGCAGCCACCTACAGTGAGTACAGAGGTGGCCTCTAGCCTCGGGCGTTTCTGATTGTGGTCCTGCCAGAGGTGGGGGAGGAGACCCTTCTCTTAGCCTCAGTTTCCATTTTTAAAATGAGGATGATGATGAGATTGATAGGCTGGGCGAGGTGGCTCACGCCTGTAATTCCAGCACTCTGGGAGGCCAAGGCAGGAGGATTGCTGGAGCTCAGGAGTTCGAGACCAGCCTGAGCAAGAGCGAGACCCCGTCTCTACTAAAAATAGAAAAATTAGCCAAGCGTCATGGTGCACACCGTAGTCCCAGCTACTCAGGAAGCTGAGGCAGTAGGATCTCTTGAGCCCAGGAGTTTGAGGTTGCTGTGAGCTAGGCTGACGCCACGGCACTCTAGCCCGGGCAACAGAGTGAGACTCTGTCTCATGCACACCGTAGTCCCAGCTACTCGGGAAGCTGAGGCAGTAGGATTTCTTGAGCCCAGGAGTTTGAGGTTGCTGTGAGCTAGGCTGACGCCACGGCACTCTAGCCCGGGCAACAGAGTGAGACTCTGTCTCAAAAAAAAAAAAAAAAAAAATTAGCCAGGGATCATGGTGCACACCGTAGTCCCAGCTACTCGGGAGGCTGAGGCAGGAGGATCGCTTGAGCCCAGGAGTTTGAGGTTGAGTGAACTATGATGACGCCACTGCACTCTACCCGGCGCAACAGAGTAAGACTCTGTCTCAAAAAAAAAAAAGAGAAATTGACTATGGCTCCTGGGGGCAGAATCCATCATTGCAGAGGGTGGCAGGTGTGATCTCACTGCCCGCCCCCCGCCATGATGGGGAGGGGGTTGCCGTGTGTTGGCCATCTTCACCAGCCCCCATGCCAAGCCCCTTGCCCACTCCTTGACTCCCCTTTCAAGCCCTGCTCAAATGGCTGCCCAAGCACAGGGAGAAGTGGGCACCGACTGGCCAGGGCCAGAGGCAGCCTCACAGGCCCTTGCTAAGGCTGGGAAAGGTTTGGCGAATGAATAGGCCCCTGGGGAACCCAACTCTCACACCTGGAAGTGAGGGCTAGGCTGCATCTCCCTGAGCTGGATTCCTGAGGGAGGAAAGGTGTGTGTGAGGCCTCCTGCCACGCCCTCTCTGCCCACCTCTCTGCAGAGTATGTGAACATGCAGGAGCCTGAGATGGACATGAAGTCAGTGACTGACCGGGCAGCCCGGACCCTGCTGTGGACTGAGCTCTTCCGAGGTGGGTACTGGGGGGAGGGCATGGGGCAGGCAGGGGTAGTCACAGATGTATAGGGAAATGCTCCCCACCCACCATGCCCCTGCTGCCCACAGGCCTGGGCATGACCCTGAGCTACCTGTTCCGGGAGCCAGCTACCATCAACTACCCCTTTGAGAAGGGCCCGCTGAGCCCTCGCTTCCGTGGGGAGCACGCCCTGCGCCGTTACCCATCGGGAGAGGAGCGCTGCATCGCCTGCAAGCTTTGTGAGGCCATCTGCCCCGCCCAGGTGAGCCCCTGACTGCCACCCGGCCCCTGTCCCTGGAGGAGGGAGGCTAGGTGCTCTGGGCCCGAATTCTGCCCTTGCTTGATGTGTGTCCCCAGGAAAGTCCCTTTCCCTGTCTCAGCCACATCCCCCCATGAATGGGAACAGTGAGGCCTTGTTCCAGAGCATTCTGAGTCAGTGAGTCTGCAGAGTGAAGCTTCTAGCCTGAGCAGGTGTGGGACACACGTGGGTTCCCCCTTGGTGCTTGGTCAGGGGTGTGAAACTGGGGCCTGTGAGCCATGGGGTGGCACGTGAGGCTGTCCACTTTCCCCGGACACAGCATCGGTCTCAGGAGCCCTGCCTGTGTGCCTGTTGCAGGCTGGACCCAATGACACAGTGCCGCAACTGAGGCCTCCCTGTCCCTGGTTGCTGCCCCTTTGAGCTTTTGGTTCTGTTGGTGGGTATTGTCCCGCTGGAGTCAGGCCTGTTAGTGCAGAAACAGAAAGATGTGATTAGAGCTGTGGTCCAGACCCCGGGCTGTGCCCAGCACGACCCCCAGCAGGCACGGCTGTTACTCACTGTCCACACAACGCCCCCCCACTGTCCACACAACGCCCCCCCACTGCCCAGTGTTGCGTGACTCAGGGTGGCTCCTGTCCAAGTCCTAGCTTGTCTCCTGGACCACTCCGGGTCCTCCAGGCCATGGGCTGTGGCCTTGATGTCTCCACTCCAGCCACAGACCAGGAACACATAAAAGAGTCCCCAGACAGCAGCAGCGATGATAGTCGTGGCTTCCAGATAGTGCTGTCTGCAGACGGACTAGGCACCCTGCCAAGCTCATTACTCATGTTATCTCATTTAATCTTTACAACAACCCTGGGACGTAGAGATTATTATCCCCACTTTTATGGGCACAAAAAGATGAGGCTACCAGCCAAAGATCCCACTGTGGGTAGTGGGCATTACACTCTTGGGGCAGGGGAGTATGAGGGTCAGTGCCAAGCACCTTTGAAGGTCCTCCCAGCTGTGGGACGCCCAGGTCAGCCCGTCCTCCAGCTGGCACGAGGCTGTACCCAGGAACTGAGTTGAGGACGTGCCTTTGAGTTTGGGCTCTGCCCCTCACTTCGCTTTGGGAAGCCCCTCAACTGCTCTAAACCTCACGTTTCTCATCCGTCAAGTGGGGATAAGTAGACTTAAGTCAGGGAGTTGTTCAACATACAACACACAGTACAGGCATTCTGCAGATGTTGTAGGTTCGGTTCCAGACCCTCGCAATGAAGAATCACAGGTTTTCCCAGTGCAGATAAAAGTTATGTTTACACTATACTGCAGTCTATTAAGTATGCAGTAGCATTATGTCTGAAAAAACAATGTACACATCTTAACTGAAAAATACTTAAATACTTTATTAGCCAGGCATGGTGGCTCATGCCTGTAGTCCTGGCTACTTAGGCTGAGGCAGGAGGATTGCTTGAGCCCAGGAGTTTGAGGCTGCAGTAAGCTAGGATGATGCCACTGCACTCCAGCCTGGGCAACAGAGCAAGACCCTCTCTCTCAAAAAACAAAATAAAAACAACACTTTATTGCTAAAAAGTACTGACCCGGAGAAATGAAGTGAGCTCATACTCGAAGCAGGGCGGCCATGAAACTTCAATTTACGGGGGAAAAAGGCATTATCTGCAAAGCACAGTAAGACAAAGTGTGCCTGCAGTCTAGTGCTTACTACAGAGCAGGCCCCCTAGGGCTGCGGGTGCTGCACTGAGCAAGGCAGGCGACAGGCCGCCCCTCGCGGGAAGTCTGTTCCCGGGTGGAGATGGCGGCTAACAGCTAGGAAGCAAACCGGGAGAGGCTGATGTGGAGAAGTGAGGGGTGGTGTCTGGGGGAGTCAGGAAAGCATCTGAGAGGTGAGGGCTTCTGTGTAGACACCAGGGGTAGACTCGGGCTCGGACATGGCTGGTCAGTGTGGCAGTGCCCGGTGTCCCCTTCTCCCAGGCCATCACCATTGAGGCCGAGCCGAGGGCCGATGGCAGCCGCCGGACCACACGCTACGACATCGACATGACCAAGTGCATCTACTGTGGCTTCTGCCAGGAGGCCTGCCCTGTGGATGCCATCGTGGAGGTGAGAGGGCCCCAGGGCGGGGGAGTCGGGGTGCTGATACTCCTGGGAGGGGCCTGACACCGCCATCCCTCTACCCCCACCTGCAGGGCCCCAACTTTGAGTTCTCCACTGAGACGCACGAGGAGCTGCTGTACAACAAGGAGAAGCTGCTCAACAATGGGGACAAGTGGGAGGCTGAGATCGCCGCCAACATCCAGGCCGACTACCTGTACCGGTGACGCCCCTGCCTGCCCGGCCCGGCCCGCAGCCCCTGCTGCCCAGTAAAACAGCTCCGACCCCACCACAGCCTCCTGTCTTGAATCCAGCCACCCCGGGGAACGATCCCCAGCCTGCCTGTGTGGCTCCAGGGGACCCATCGGGCCTCCCCAGGGCTGGGCCACGGCCACAGCATCCCCGTCTCCCACACATCTTCCCCAAGGCATGGCAATGCAGAGGTCACCTCAGGCCGGCTGTTCCCACGATCCTGGTTGTCTTGCGGGGGGCCTGGGCCTGCTGTCTCCTGAGGGCCACCCACAGCTAAGACCCTTAGGACTTGGAGCCTCCCCAGGCCTCAGGCTGAAGAGCATCGAGTGGCAGAAACTCAGAAGGCCAAAGCGTCCTTGTTGGGGTAGGAGGAAGCTTGCTGTGGGGCTGACAGTCACGAGGGGGTGACACAGGCCCTGCTGGCCCTGAGTTGGCCTCGCCGCCAGCCACAAGTTCCCCTGCCCAGGCTGCTGACCTGGCTCCTGTGGCTCGAGACTTCCTGCTTTGCAGTCCCAGAAAAGTCCCGGCCAAGTACTGTGATTCTCTCTGGGGGACGCAAGCCCCGTGCTGACGTAATAGTCAAAAACAGCCCCCTTCAACTTGGCCCGAGCCACTGTGAAAAGATCGTGTGTCACTCTCGGCGTGAGGAAACTGCCCTAGCCAGGTGAGGTGACTTGCTCAGGATCACACATCTGGAGGACAAGCCAACTCGAGTCAGAGACCTTGAGTCCTCCTCCCCCTCGTTTCCAGAAGCACTTTTTGCAGGACACCACTCTTCCCAAGATGCTTCTTGGAAAGAAGAGGGAGGGTGTTCTGCAGAACAGTGAGTGTGGGAAATGCCCCGTGACTTCTCTTGGGCAGACACTGCATGTTAGACGTTCAAGGCTCTGAGAAGGCCTGCAGCAAAGAAAATCAGCCTTTCCCCAGCCCATTCGCAGGGAGTCCCTTTCCTCGGATCACCTGCTGACACCTGGGCCCGCTTTCTAGGCTGGGCCTTGCCATCTGATGCGAAAGTGGCCAAGGCTTGGAGGCCCCCACAGGCTGGAGCTGGGGGGAGAAGAGATGAGCGTTTCTAAAAACAAAGCAGGTCCACGAAGCGGGCTCAGAAATCCTGTCGTCTTGAGTTTAGCTTTTCCCGGACATAACTGCCACAGATAGTGGGCACGGAGCCAGTTTGTACCCACACAGCGTGGTCGGAATGTGTCCGCGGGTGACTTGGCTCTTCCCCGTGCTGAGGTGTTCCACGCTTTGTTCTGCTGGGGCCCCTCTGGCGCTGTGTGGTCGTATCAAGCCCCCCATCACAACAGATCATGGCACCCAAACACGAGTCCCCCAACTTTCTGAGGAAGCTGACCTTGGCTGTGACTCAGTTTCCAGGCCCAGCTCTGGGATGCCATTTGCCCACCCCTCCCCCACCCCTCACAGGCCTTTCCTTGCTGAGTGGGGTTTAAGGATCACCAGAACTGAGGGGCCCCTGTCCCCCTCGTCTCCGGTGGGTAAGGTTCGGGCCTGTCCAAAGTGCAGGCAGCTGGGCAGTGGTCGTCCCCAGTTTCCAGGCACTGGACCGGGTGCGGCACCCGGAGCTGATGAGGAGCAAGGTGGGGGCCCCAGCCGCGGTGGAGCCCTGGCTAACAGGAAGGCTCCGTGCTCCCAGCGCCAGAGCAGAGCCGCACAGCATGGCCTGGCCCTGATGCCCTGCTGCCATCGAAGAAGGGCCCAGAGAGGGGCAGCCACCCACCCAAGAGCCTACAGCACCGCCCTGAGGGGTCAGAGGAGGAAGCGGTGGTGTCCCTACACGCCTCACCCACGCAGAGGGACTCTAGAGGTGGGGGAGCGTTCTGGGAAGGTGCGGGTCTTGGGGGGCCCTGGCCCAGGGCCATTAGCCGGAGTGTGTCGGGGTCCCCTCAGACATAGACCAGCGAGTCTTCTAGGTGAGAGGGGCCGAGGGTCCCATCCCCTAGTCCGGAGCTAGGCCTGAGCTCGGCGCCTCTCCCGAATCCTGGTCGCGCAGACGCGCATGGTTGGCGCTGGTCGCCGGGATTACGCGCCCCACGGCCGGGCAGGGTGTCCCAGCTGCCCGCGGAGGACGGCTCCGCGAGGTCACAGCCGGCCGGGCCCCTCCGCAGGCTCCCGGGATTCCAGGAGGGGAGGGTGTCCGGGGGCGGGGCGTCTCTGGCCCCGCCCCGTCGGCCCCGCCCACCGGGCGAGGCGGGAGGGCAGTACCGGGCCTGGCCCGCGCGGAGCAGGGCAGCGAGGAGCCGAGCGGCGGCGCGCAGCCCACCCGGGTGAGTGCCCCGGCGGGGTCCGCGGAGCCCCAGCTCTGCCTGCCACCCCCGCCGCCCGCTGCCCCGAGGAGGGCGCCCCGGCACCCCGCCGGGGGTGGTTAGTGGATGCAGCGCAGTCGTCACCCCGCCGGGCGCCAGGCCTTGCTGGGGACCACAGAGGACGCCCAGGGACGAGGCTTGCGGGGCCGAGGAGGGGGAGGGCGGGGCGTTAGCCGCCGGCAACTACTGTGCCCAACTCTGCCCGGCCTGGAGCGCTCGGAGCTTTCCCTGCCGCATCTTCCTGGAAGGGACGGACCCGTTCTACAGATGAGGAAACTGAGACCTAACTAGGAAGTTGCAGAGCCAGAGACGAGCCGGGTCATTCAGACACTAGAGCCCACCAGTCTGTGATGAAGGGGGCCGCAGACCCGCTCCCCGCGCCCCTCATCACGGGGTTGGGGAGGAGGGGCTCAGAGGAGAGATCTGGGGGGTTCCTAGAGCAGGAGCCTCCAGCCCCTGAGGGACCCGGAGTGGGACACAGGGTGAGGAGAGGAAGAGTCTGGACCCTGAAGGCTGCAGGATGTAGGCACCTTCCTTTGTTCCCGATATGGGGCTGTGGTGGCCCCTGGCTGGAGCAGGGGCCCTGGGGCCCAGGGTAGGGGGTGAGCCAGTGGGGGCCTCGAATGCCAGGAGAGGGGTCTGACCAGGCCCCTACCACAGCCACGCCCACCACAGGTTGTCCCAGCCAGCCGAGGAAAGCGCCCAGGCCAGAGGGAGCCAACTCCTAGGCAGAAGGGCGGTGGGAGGCCCGGAGGGCCCGGTGAGAGTAGCAGGCTGGAGCTGCCGCAGCTGCTGCCCAAGGCTGCTCCACCCCGAGTCCCCAGAGCCATCTCCCCACAACCGCTTCTTTGGCTGCGCAGCCGCAGGCTGCCCAGGTCAGAGAGCAGCCCTCTGAGCACATACTGTGTGCTGGGACTTGCACACCTGCAGCCCTGGCCACGTGACCTTGGACTTCACCTCTGCAAGCATCAGCTGAGCTGCCTGTCCAACGGGGCTCAATACCCCTCCCGCTGGGCTTGCATCTGGGGACCCCTGTGTGAGGCAGTGGAGGAAGGGATTACCTAAGGGCTCTGGCTATTTTTGTCACCTCCCCACCCAGATCCTGTCTCTGCCATGGGTGGCCAAGTCTTATTCACCCAAAGAGGCAGTAGAGGCCCAGAGAGTGCAAGAGACTTGTCTAAGGTCACACAGCCAGTCACAGCCTGAGCAGGGCCCCAAGCCTTGATCCCTGGCCCTCTGCCCTGGGTGGGACCGTGTCCCTGGGGGATAGAACCCAGCACCCCCTGCCCACCTTCCCTGCCCAGGGCCCTGTCCTCCTGCAGCCTCGGGCCGCCTCAGCCTTCTCCCCTTTCCCAGGCTGGGGACAGGGCTGCAGTTCCCTATTTAGAGTTAGGTTAACCGGCTGGGGGAGGAAGTGCTGGGGAGGAAGTGGCCAGCCGGGCAGGCCCTGGCCGGCCCAGACAGCAGGCGGGGCACTCTGGTGCCTAATGTTCCCCTCTCAGCGGGGCCCTCGCCCTGGCTGTCCCCTCCCCCTAATTTAAGAGCTGAGGGTCGCACAGAGGGGAAAGCCTGGGCGGGGACGTGCGGGCTGCTGGCGGCCACCCTGGCCCTCCCCCCACCATTGAGCAACAAGCCGGGCCTTCCCGCCCTTTTCGGTTCCACTTTCCTGGTTTCGACACCTGGAAGGCTGTGCTGCCCCCACCGCAGACCCCTGCAGCCAGGTGGCCCCCCAGGGAAGGTTCCCCGGCTGCAGCACCCCCGCAGGGGGGTGGGAGGGCCCCAGCGGCCCCTGAGGACGATCCCCACTCGATCCCCACTCGCTGGAGGCAGCCCTCGGCCTGGGGTGTGGGTGAGGGCAGGCCAGAGAGAGGGGCAGTGGGAGCAAAGGTGGGGGCAGAGCCAGTGTCACCCGCCGTGGCCGCCAGGGTGGGGGTGGAGTGGGCCAGGAGAGAGCTGGGGGGGGACCGCCTGGGCTGGGGGGTCAGCCAGGCTGGGCTCCATTCCCAGCCGCCCTGCTTACTTCCCGTGTGACCGCAGCACCCCATCGCGCCTTCCTGGGCCTCCGTTTCCCTATCTGTCAGACGGGGCTGGTAGCTTCACCTTCCGGGATTCTGTGAGCTGAGGTGTGTGGGACACCAACTTGGTTGGGAACCGTCTGTGGCCCGCCCCGCAGGACCATGGGCTCCATGTTCCGTGGCGAGGAGGTGGCGCTGGTCCAGCTGTTCCTGCCCACGGCAGCCGCCTACACCTGTGTGAGCCAGCTCGGTGAGCTGGGCCTCGTGGAGTTCAGAGACGTGAGTGGGGGCTGGGACTGGGGGGGCTTCCTCCTTGGGTGCTGCTGTCAGGTGGGCCTGGAATATGGTCTGCGTGGGGGGCGGCCTCCCGCCGCAGTGCCCCGGCCCCACGTGAACCCAGCAGTCCCCGCTGCAGACTTTCTGCTCTCGGTCAGTCCACGGCTGAGGCCCCCTGCCTGGGCCGGGTCTGGCCAGGCCTCCTTGGCTCTCCTCACGCCCTCCCAGGGCACGGGCTCTGGTCTGTGCTGCGCTCAGGCGTGTGGGGGCTCGCAGTGTGCTCGGCACCTTTTTGGACCAGGAGGCTGAGGCCTGAGCCCCAGGGCGCACACCTCCCCGGGACACTGAGCCCTCTGTGTGGCAACTGCAGCTCAACGCCTCGGTGAGTGCCTTCCAGAGACGCTTTGTGGCAGATGTCCGGCGCTGCGAGGAGCTGGAGAAGACCTTCAGTGAGTTGGCCCCAGGCCCACAACCCAGGCAGGCTTCCTGGAGGAGGTACCAGCCAAGCGTGGCCTGAGAGGAAGAGTCTGGGTTCCCCAAGTGGAAAGTAGAGGAGGGAGGTGCTGTCAGAGCCAAGACGAGCTGCTGGGATGTTCTTGGGGAGGTGGCAGCCTTGTGCTGAGCAGAGAGAGGGTCCAGGGCAGGGCTGGCTTGGAGGAGGCCTTAAATCCAGCCGGGACATCACCCCGTGGGCACTGGGGAGCCACAGGGATTCTTAAACAGGGGACAGGCACAAACAGAGCTTTCTTCTCTGCGGCCGGGCTGGGCTGGGTGGAGGCCAGGATCTCGGATCTGAGGTCCTTTCTGGCATCCTCTCCCTTTAGGGGCACCAAGAGATCAGCCCCCCAGTCTCCTCCAGGTAGGAGGATGAGCAGGTTTTATTTTGTGGCTTGTTAGTTTGATTTGTAGCTTTTGAATAATCAGGCAGGTACAGAACTCCATTAAGCTTCATTCCAGGCTCTGCAATGAATAGGGGTGTGGGGGAACTTCTGTGGGGCTCAGGCCTGCGCTGGGCAGTGGCCAAGGGACTGGGGCTCAAAGGGAGGGAGCACACCTTCGGGGGGAGGTTTGGCCTGGCATTTTCCTGGGGCCCCCGGCCTGGCGGATGAGTTAGCTGGTGGCCAAGGGCGTTTGGGGCAATGTGTGGGGTCCACTAGACGTGAGCCAGCCCTTGGCTGGTGTGACCCCATCCTTCTGCCCCTAGCCTTCCTGCAGGAGGAGGTGCGGCGAGCTGGGCTGGCACTGCCCGTGCCCGAGGGGAGGCTGCCGGCGCCCCCGCCGCGAGACCTGCTGCGCATCCAGGAGGAGACGGACCGCCTGGCGCAGGAGCTGCGGGACGTGCGGGGCAACCAGCAGGCCCTGCAGATCCAGCTGCACCAGCTGCGGCTCCACTTGGCCGTCCTGGGCCAGGGCCAGGGGCCCCCGGTCAGCTCCAGCCTGGGCGGGGGATGGGGCTGGGAGAGGGGATGCCAGGCCCCCGGGCCAGGGCTCATGGTGCTTCTCAACTCCTAGCTGGCAACTGCCCAAATGGATGGGCCCTCGGAAAGGACGCCCCTGCTCCTGTCCCCCGGGGGGCCACACAAGGACCTGAGGGTCAAGTGAGTGAGGACGACTGCATGGCCGGGGCCAGCCAGGCCGTGCTTGGACTCCCTCCCTTTGCTCTTCCCTCCCCACATCGCTTGGCATCACTGGTCATCGTTTGGCCTCGATGGGGATCACTGAGCTTTGCTTGGCATCACTAGACATCTCTGGGCATTCTGGGCATTGCTTGGCATCAGTGGGCATTGCTGGGTATCGCTTGGCATCGCTGGGAATCTCTGGGCATTGGTGGGCATTGCTTGGCATCAGTGGGCATCGATGGGCATCACTGGGCATTGCTTCGCATCGCTTGGCATCACTGGGCATCGCTGTGTTCCTGCCCCAGCTGCCCTCTGCCTCCTCCCTCAGCCTTGCCCTTGCCCTGCGGGGGGGGGGTCCTCCTCTTCAGCCCTGCCTGGGTGGCCTCCTGCCTTCTCCTTGGGGGCTGGCCTGGCTGGGGTGGCTCGGGCGGGGCGAGGTGGGCAGGGAGTGCCGAGCAGCCCCCACCCAGCCAGCCGGCCACCAGCTTTGTGGCAGGTGCCGTGGAGCGGCACAAGGCCGCCGCCCTGGAGCGCCTGCTCTGGAGGGCCTGCCGCGGCTTCCTCATCGCCAGCTTCAGGGAGACGGAGCAGCAGCTGGTGGACCCCGTGACGGTGAGCGGGTGGCGGCCTGGCAGAGGGGCAGCCGGGGCAGGGCGGGGCGACAGGGTAACCTGAGCCTGGCTCCGCAGGGGGAGCCCGCGACATGGATGGCCTTCCTCATCTCCTACTGGGGCGAGCAGATCGGACAGAAGATCCGCAAGATCACCGACTGGTGAGCGCATGGGGGCTGCTGGGCCTCGCAGGTGTGCAGAGGCCTCCCCAGCGCCCGCTGGCGCCTCCACAGCGCCTGTCCTGTCGCAGCCCCGTGGGCTCCCGTGAGACTCAGGCAGCCCTTCCTCCCCGCCAGCTTCCACTGCCACATCTTCCCGTTCCTGGAGCAGGAGCAGGCCCGCCGCGCAGCCCTGCAGCAGCTGCAGCAGCAGAGCCAGGAGCTGCAGGAGGTGGGTGCCCCGGGCATGGCCGGACCCCCGCCTGGCCCTCCTGGCCCTCCTGGCTCCCCCTGACCGCCCGCTCTGGCCGCAGGTGCTGGGGGAGACCGAGCGCTTCCTGAGCCAGGTGCTGGGCCGGGTGCAGCAGCTGCTGCCGCCCAGGCAGGTGCAGGTCCGCAAGATGAAGGCCGTGTACCTGGCCCTCAACCAGTGCAGCGTGAGCACCACGCACAAGTGCCTCATTGCCGAGGTCTGGTGCGCCACGCGCGACCTGCCGGCGCTGCAGGAGGCGCTGCGGGACAGCTCGGTGAGCTCAGCAGGGCCCCCCCGGGCTGCGCTCCTCTCCGGGTCGGGTGACCCCCAGGAACCTCCTCCGGCAGGTGCCTGTTTCGGCCTCACACCAGGCCTCATGTTCCCGCCTGGCCTTTGCAGGGGGTCCCTCTCGCCCCGCCTGAGGGCCCCAGCCTGGCCAGCCCCCCTCCCCTGACGTCCCAGAGCCCCTGGAGGCCGGGGGCGCCAAGGCAGTTGTAAAGTCAGGAACCTGGGCTGCCCCAGGCTCTGGCCAGGTGGCCGTGGGCCTGTCTGGGAGCCTCAGGCTCCTGGTCTGTGGGTGCGTGACCCTGCCCCTGCGTAGCAGGTGCTCACGGTGAGGCTGGAGCTCCCTCTCCTGGGCCACCCTTTCCTTTCCCGAGCACCTGCCAGTCCAGGTGAGGTCTTTGGGCCCCGCACTTGGGGCAGGGCAGGGCTGATCATCTCGTTTTGCAGAGCGGGGAAGGGGCTGCCCAGGCTCCCCCGGTGCCCGCCCAGGGAGCCCCCGCCATGCTCTGCATCTCCAGCTGGGCCTGCCTTGGGGTTCCCAGGGTCCCTGAAGGCTCCCACCACCAGTCTGATGTGTCTCTCTACCTGGTGCCGCAGAGCGAGGAGGGAGTCAGCGCAGTGGCCCACCGCATCCCCTGCCGGGACATGCCCCCGACACTCATCCGCACCAACCGCTTCACAGCCAGCTTCCAGGGTATCGTGGACGCCTATGGCGTGGGCCGCTACCAGGAGGTCAACCCGGGTGAGAGCGCCGGCGTGCTCCCCGCCCCGGGCCAGCCCCCAGCCCTCTGGCAGGCTCAGCCGCCCCATAGGGTGTGAGCCTGGGAATGGGGGCGTCTCCACCCTGGGCCTGCCTGGTCTCTGGGGATGAAACGAGAGGTGCGTGCCCTGCCACGCTCTCGAAGGGCTGTAGGGCAGGCTTTCTGTTGTCCCCAGCGGCCCCGTTGGGTTAGTAAGGGTGCTGGATGGGCTTGTGCAAAGGGCAGAGGCTTCGTAGGGGACGGCCCAGGTTCAAAGCCCGGCTCACTTGCCTTGGTGAGCTTCTTAGCTCCTCTGAGCCTGGTGCTTCAACTGCAAAATGGAAATAATAGTGCAAACCCTGGAGGAATGTTGGCAAGGCTCGTGATCATTGCACAGTGCAGACGAGTTGCTGCCAGTGTGGTTGGTTTGGCCAGACGGTGTTTTGTGAGAAGTTTGAACGGATGCTGTCTTGGGTCAGGTTCTCCCTGAGATGGGCATTGTGGTGTGAGTGGGCTGTTGAGGGCGGTGCCCCCAGGAGAAACCAGTAAGAGATGGTGGTGGGGGATCCCTGATATCTGTGACTGGTCTGTCCGCTGCCTGGTTCCTCTCCCTCCGGACAGTGGGCTGACTGCAGTGTGGCCGATGCCGTCCGGTGGGAGGAGAGACCCAGCCATGGCATAGGTGTGACCGTGGCGGAGCCCCTCTGGGGAGGGGACTTGGCCACAGGCCAGGGAGGGGCCCTGCCTCACCCAGTGGGCAAGAGTCAGGGTGCTCAGGCCCCGGGGGTGCAGGCAGGATGTGAGGACGGCTCATGTGCTCCTTGGGGCCCGCTGATCCTTTAGGGCCAGCATCCCCGGGTGCGATCTGGGGCGCCCCCTGGTTTCACCTGGCCATAGCTCTTGCATACCGACGGGCCGGCCGAATTGGAACAAGGCACGTCACCCAGATACCCGCGGTGGATGACGTGCTTCTGGGGAGTGTCAGTTTGCCAGGGCTGCTGTGACACGGCGCCACGGCTGCGGTGCTGTCTCGGCTGTGAGGCTGGACGCCCAAGATGTAGGTGCAGCAGGGTTGGTTCCTCTCGAGGGCTGCCAGGGAGAATCGGTTCCAGGCCTTTCCCCTTGACTTGGAAGTGGTCACCCTCATCCTCACGTGGTGTCCTCCTCTGTCTCTACATCCAAATTCTCCCTTTCTGTAAGGACACCAGTCACACTGGATTGGGGCCCACCCAAATGGTCTCATCGTAACCTGTTACCTCTACAGACTCCTTCTCCAAATAAGGCCACGTTCTGAGGTCCTGGGGGTTGGGACTCCAATATGTATTTTTGGGGGTCACAGTTCAGCCCCTAGCAGGGCACGTGTATTGAAAACCTCCCAACTCCCTCGAGGAATTGTTCCATTTTACTGAAGGAAAACTGGGACTTCAGAGAGTAAGTGACCAGCTCAGCCTTCTGGAACTTGCCACATGCCAGCCAGCACTGGGCCTGTCCTTTCAGGGCTTCTGCAAAACGCTCTTCTTGTGAATAGTAGTAGCTGGAGCGATGACCTTACGTGGCATGCCCGTGGTCGGCCGGCCACTCCTGTGGCCTCGCTCACTTCTAGGAACCCTACAGTGACACTGGTGTTATCTCCATTTTACAGATGGGAAATGGAGGCTCAGAGAGGTTAAGTAGCTAGCCCAAGGTCACACAGCTCCTAAGTGGCAGGTTCTTGACTGCAGGCAGGCAGTCTGGTGTCCCTGCCTCAAGAGCACCACCTTGGCAGTTACTGGGGTCCCAGGAGCCTGGATTTGGCGCCTCTGCGGCATCTGGGACGCGAAGCAGATGCCGATTTCTCCGTGGGGTCCTGGCTGACTGCAAACCCTCTGCCCGCAGCGCCCTACACCATCATCACCTTCCCCTTCCTCTTCGCCGTGATGTTCGGTGACGTGGGCCACGGGCTGCTCATGTTCCTCTTTGCCCTGGCCATGGTGCTCGCTGAGGACCGGCCGGCCGTGAAGACTGCGCAGAACGAGGTGGGGGCCGGGCTGGGGTCCTGGCAGGGGTAGGGGCGGGGGTGGCGGCAGCCCCTCACCGTGCTGCTGCCGCCCCCAGATCTGGCGGACCTTCTTTGGGGGCCGCTATCTGCTCCTGCTCATGGGCCTGTTCTCCGTCTACACTGGCTTCATCTACAACGAGTGCTTCAGCCGAGCAACCACCATCTTTCCCTCGGGCTGGAGCGTGGCCGCCATGGCCAACCAGTCTGGCTGGAGGTGAGGCCTCGGCCCCGGCCCCCAACCCCCGCCTTCCCCCTGCCCCCTGCGGCCCTAACCGCCCTGCCCACTGTTGCCACAGCGACGCGTTTCTGGCCCAGCACGCAGTGCTCACCCTGGACCCCAGCGTCAACGGCGTCTTCCTGGGACCCTACCCCTTCGGCATCGACCCCGTGAGCCCCGGCCACTCGAGTGCCCCTGGAGGGTGGCGGCAGGGGGAGGGCAGCGCAGGGACTCCCGACGCCCAGCTGCCCACGCCTCCAGCAGCTGTCACTGGGCACCTCCTGCCCGAGGCACGGGGGACACCAGGCGCCTGCCCTGCTGGGCTACGTCAGGGTTTCCTAAGCACGCGGAGAGGAACGAGGGCAGATATCAAGTCCTTCTGAGGCTTGCTCTCTGAGCCCCTGCTGTGAAGTGATTTTATATTTGATCCTCAGAACAACCCGGGGGGGGTGCACATTGGTATTACTACATTCTGCAGATGGGGAGACTGAGGCACAGATCCCGTGCCCAAGTCACCCAGCTGTGAGGAGGTGGGGCCGGAGCCATCTGGCCCCATCTGTGCTCTGTTGCCCCTCGATGGGCAGGCCCCATCCTGGGCACAGGGGACAGACGAGGTGTCTGCCCTGGACAGGTGGGCAGGTGACAGGGCTGTGTGCTCGGGGAGTGGGGCTTCCTGGCCCTGGTGGCCGGGGAGCCTCTGAACTCGGCCCGCCCCGCCCTGCTGCCCCAGGTCTGGAGCTTGGCTGCCAACCACCTGAGCTTCCTCAACTCCTTCAAGATGAAGATGTCTGTCATCCTGGGGGTCACGCACATGACCTTTGGGGTGGTCCTTGGAGTCTTCAACCACCTGTGAGGGCCGGGGCTGCTGGCGGGGTGTGGAAGCCGCGCAGGGCGGGTGGGCCCCGGTGAGCACGCCGCCCTCCTCCCTGCCAGGCACTTTGGCCAGAGGCACCGGTTGCTGCTGGAGACCCTGCCGGAGCTCACCTTCCTGCTGGGGCTCTTTGGCTACCTCGTCTTCCTGGTCGTCTACAAGTGGCTGAGCGTGTCGGCTGCCGGCGCCGCCTCGGCCCCCAGCATCCTCATCCACTTCATCAACATGTTCCTCTTCTCCCGCAGCCCCACCAACCAGCCGCTCTTCCCCGGGCAGGTGGGCTGGGGCAGGGGAGCAGGGCTCACACAGCCTCACGGGGTCCCCGTGGTCACTGGGCCACTCAGAGCTGCAGGATCCTCGTCTGGGAGATGGGGATGTGGGCTGAGGCTGTGCGGAAAGGGCAGTTGGAGGCGACGGTGCTCAGCTCTAAGCAGGGCAGCTCACAGTAGGTGCTGGAAGCCTGCGGTCCCTTGTCACAGGAGTCTCCTAGGAGCCATCGCCCCGCACCTGGGGGCCCTGGGGAGCAGGGACTGCAGGCTCTCTGGGCCCGTGTGATTGGTGTGACCCAAGTCCCTGGACGACTCGCGTGTGCGCGGTGGGGGACGCCCTGACTCGCACCCTCTCGCTGGCAGGAAGTGGTACAGTCCACGCTGGTGGTCCTGGCCTTGGCCATGGTGCCCGTGCTGCTGCTTGGCACACCCTTGCACCTGCTGCGCAGGCAGCGCCGCCGCCGTCGCCGCCGCCATCACTCGCGGAGGGACCCTGCTGGCAGGCAGGTAGGGCCAGGGCGCGGTTGGGAGGTGAGGCTGCAGGTGGGCGTGTCCCCGACCCGCACCCTCAGCTCCCCTGGGGGCTCCTGAGTGGCTGTGAGCAGGCAGTGGGGGCAGCGTGGGCCCCTCCCAGGCTGGGGGGCTGCCCACCCTGCCCGCTCCTCGCCCCAGGAGGAAGATGAGGCCGGGCTGCTGGACTCGCCCGAGGTGTCCGAGAACGGCTGGGGCTCTGATGAGGAGAAGGCAGGGTGCCCTGAGGACGAAAAGGAGGCCAAGGTGGGCGGGACACCTTTCTGATTGGGGGGTGGCTGGCTGCTGGCCCCTGAGAGCCACTCACTGCTGCCTGCCCTGCAGCTTGTCCCCTCCGAGGTGTTCATGCACCAGGCCATCCACACCATCGAGTTCTGCCTGGGCTGCATCTCCAACACGGCCTCCTACCTCCGCCTCTGGGCCCTGAGCCTGGCCCACGCCCGTGAGTGTCCTGGCTGGGGTGGGGCAGGCCACCCTGGGCCCTGGCTCCATCTCACGCACAGCTGCTGGCTGGGTGGCCTGGGCGGGTCACGTCTCTCTGGGCCTCAATATCCCCTGCTGTAAAGTGGGGTCGTTTGAGGAGGTCCCGCGCCACTGAGGGGGCCGGCAGGGACCTGCTTGCTCTCGGCCCTCACGGCCCCCCCTTTTGCCCAGAGCTGTCGGAGGTCCTGTGGGCCATGGTGATGCGCCTGGGCCTGGGCATGGGCCGGGAGGTGGGCGTGGCGGCCGTGGCGCTGGTCCCCATCTTTGCTGCCTTCGCCGTGATGACCGTGGCCATCCTGCTGGTGATGGAGGGGCTCTCGGCCTTCCTGCACGCCCTGCGGCTGCACTGGTAAGAGCCCGCCGGGCTGGCCTGGGCAGCACAGGGCAGGAGGAGGCTCCCCTCACCTGCCTCTCCCCTTGTCGCCCCCAGGGTGGAGTTCCAGAACAAGTTCTACTCAGGCACTGGCTACAAGCTGAGCCCCTTCGCTTTCGCCTTGGAGGATGAATAGTGCCCCATCTGTGGGTCACGCCCAGCCCCGTCCTGACTGCTCTGAGCAGGAAGGAATAAAGAGGAGGCCTGGGAGCTGTGTCTGTTCTTGTCTGGAGCACCAGGGGCACCAGGGCAGGGCCCCTCCCGCACCTCCTGCCCGTGCTCACACCCTCCTTTCTGGCTGAGCTGGGGGCACTGGTCCAGGATCTGGGGCCTCCACGCATGAGCACTTCTGCAATAACCCCAGACTTTGGGGGTAAAAGAGGGCAGAACTAGGGCCAAGGAGGATGTTTCCAGCACATTCTAACTCAGAGGCAAGTGTCTTCCCAGGCCAGGCTGGAGGAATGCACTCCCCATCCTTGGAGGTGAACAAACTGGCTGCAAGTGTGTCTGGGACACTCTGGGGGGAAGGCGGGTGACTGGTGCTGGGCCTCGGGCTCAAGGTGCTCTGAAGAAGAGAGCCACCAGAGACACCCACGCCTGACACAGTGCTCTCCATGCGGAAGGACTGTGGTGTCACAGCCCAAGGCCACACCTGCAGGGCAGGGCAGGGGCTGCCCAGAGTAGCCAAAGAATTACCCAGGGTCCTGAGGGTCAGAATAGGGGCTGCCTACCCCACTCCCCCCTCCCCTCCTGGGTGGTCCTTCACTCAGATGGGGGGCGGCCTCCTGCTGCTCCCTCTGGCCGGGGGTCCTACCACTAGCTGGGAGGCAGAGCCAGCCCTTCTTAGAGGCCTTGGTTTTTCCTTCCAACAAGCTGCGAAGTGGTTCTTCTGGCTGGAGGCCCCAGAAACAAAGGCCACTTTGAGGCCAGAGCTGCACTGGGCACAGAAAGCCAAGCTAGCCTGCCCCATGGCTGTGGCTCTGGCCAGCTGCTGGAAGAGGCCTGTCCCTTGGGTCCTGGACTGCCCTAGTCAGAACCCCTGGATGCTGGGAGCAGGCAGGAGGGGCTCCGCAGCGATTCCACATACCTGGCAGAGACTTCCCTCAGAGCAGTGTTGGTTCGAGTGGCTGGTTAGGAACCGAGGTGGCTGCTGTGGGCTCTGGCTAAACCCAGAGCTCAAGGCCTCACGCCTTCCTGGGGCGCAGAGGGCAGTGAAGCAGGGGCTGATTAGGAATAGACGCTCAGGGCCAAGTGTGATTTGGGGAGACAGGTGTGGGATCCCAGCCGGCAGCACTGGTTGAGAAGTCTGGTTGCCAAGGGAATGGCACACGCAAAGGCACTTGGGAGGGCACCTTTGGGGAGCGGAGGTCATCAGGAGACACAAGGGTGAGGCGGGCCACCCGCACTGAGGACTCTGCAGTGGGCAGCACAGGTCCCATCCCTGCCCTGTGAGCTCCTGGCCCAATCCAGGAGGCAGCTGAGAACCCCGGGGCAGTTGACTGCATGAAGGGATGGGCCAGGGAAGGACGTGGGGTGAGGGTGGTTTGGAAAGGACACCCTCTTAGTGGAGTTCAGAAAGCACTTTCTGTAAGGACACCAGTCACTTTGGATTGGGGCCCACCCAAATGGCCTCATCGCAACCTGATCCCCTCTTCAGACCCTTTCTCCAAGTAAGGCCCTGTTCTCCTGAGCGGACGGGGGCAGTGAAGCCCATCGTCTGAAGATCTGACCGTCTTGGTGTGTCCAAGGACGAGCAGGGCTGGAGGGAGCTGGCAGAGGGGGCCGGCGAGGACCGCGGACACAGGAAGGCCCTGGCACTTTCGTTGTGAGTGGAAGAGAAGCCACTGGGATCTTACACAGGAGTGTGACGTCACCTTGCTGTTTTATTGTCTGGGTGTGTCTGGATGTCAAAACCCATTCACCTGCTTAAAATTTTAAATGTGTAGCGGGGTGAACAGTGAAAAGCCCCTCTCCTGCCTGGCCCAGCTGCCTGGTGTCCTCCCCAGACACAGCCCTGCTCCCCGTCTCTCCTGCATCTTCCGGAGGTCCTCACACTGGGCAGGCAGCAGGGAGAAGCAGTCGGGTCTCAGGTCTGGGGGCTGCTGGCTGGGATCCCCTTAGGACTCACAGGGAGAGGTCAAGGGCAGATCCAGTGGCCCTCTGACATCTAGGGCCCAGGCAGGCCGGAGGGTTTAGGAGGTAAACCAGAGTGTGCTGGCCCAGAGAGTAAGTTATCTCGAGGAGGGGAGGGGGAGGGGAGAGAGGTCAACAGAGCCACGTGGGGCCCAGTGGAGAGCAGCAGGGTGCTGCTCACTCTGCCTGGAGCACTGCCCAGCCCAGGAGCCTTACATGGGCACCTAAGGTAGCAGGAGCCCTCCCTGAGATTCAGGACACATCCAAGGGTGACAGCTTGAGGTTGGGTTTTTAATTTTTTTATTTACTTATATAGTACAATCTCTGTGGTAGCAGAAATATATGCACAAAAAACAATTCAAATAAGAGTAAAAAAAAGGTCTGCTATGAATTTATCCCATAGGACATTTAATATATACAGATTTCACAGCTATGCTCTATCCACGGCCCCGCATTCCACATACTGGCTGCTGAGTGACGTAAGGGACACCAGGAAAAGTGAGGGCAAGGAAAACTGGCCACCCGAGAGCCCAGGCCAGGGTTTCCCTCCCCCTGCCCAGGGGCCCTGGGGCAGAACCGGCTGGGGAGGCCAGCCCCCATCACAGGCTCCCAGGCAGGCCGGGCGGGAGGAGGGAAGGGCCCAGAGAGCTGGGCAAGCAGCCTGCTCCCCCAGGAGGGGAGACGGGAGGGAAGGAAGATGGGGAGGTCCCGACACTGCCCGGAGGCCACAGCCTCACCGGAGTGACTAGAGCACACTCAGAGTTAGGAGGGGGCCCGACGAGGTTCTATCCAGTTACGGAGAAACTCATCAGTCTAACAAAACATGTACAACAGGCACAGAGGAGCTGGTCCTCCCCGTGCAGGCGGCTCAACAGCTCCCGCGCAATCTGCTTCCCCAGCTTCCGCCGTCGGGACCACGGGGGTGAAAGAGCAGCTTCCTGAGACACCAGGAAGCCCGCCCTGCAGCAGTGACCAGTGACTTCACAGTATGTCTCTGGGAGTGAGTAGCATCCGCAACACGTCATCTACAAAGAGCCTGGTCACAATGTTCACCAGCACGTTGATGAAAAATTTGTAAAATCAACATTAACCGGAGTACCTGCAGTAACACTGTTGACTTTTGCTGTTTGCCGTATCTGCCTGAAAGCCTTGACCCCCGAATACAAAATGCCTTCTCTAGATTAAAAGCATTCAGAGATATTGCACTATTGGACTATTTATCTGCTTCCCAATCTCGTTTCAGAGTCCTAGTGAAATCGTAAACAAGATATGAAATAAATGTTACTCCATTTTAATACAGTCTTTAGTATCATACACATCTGTGTTCAGTAGTGAGACATCCAGAGCCATCCTGCCGCAGGTGCGCAGTCGAAGCACAGAGGGGACCCTGCTCGGCCACCTCCCCGTGCTGTCCAGTGTCAAGGTGGATGGAGTCCCCACAGTCACACCCCAAGCTTTCTCTTCTGGTCAAAATAGGCATCAAACCTCGCCTGGGCGTAGTCCTAGGAGACAGCAAGTAAAGAGAAGACCTCACCAAGGGCTCCTGCTTGCCTGAGCCTGCCCACGTGTCCTGCTTAGACAAGGGCCGAGGACACAGACCCAAAAGGACCACAGCCCAGGACAGGGCGTGCAACAGGGCTGCTCTGAAGACACTGTTTCTGAGCTCTCAGCCCTGGCCCTGCCTTCCTTTCTTTCCAATAGACCTGGCTCGAAGTCCCTTGGCCAGCCCAGCCCTGCCAACCAGGAGGGACTGCTTGTCTGCATGTCTGGCAGTGCTACGGTTCATCATCTGTTGAACTTGAATTCTGCAGGCACTGGCTGCCCAACACAATAAAGGTTCTGCTTTCAGAGCACAATGTCCCTGGGACGTGAGCAAGTACAGAACGAAAGGTGAAGAGAAAGGGTGCCACCTATTTTTTTTTTTTTTTTTTGAGACAGAGTCTCACTGTGTTGCCGGGGCTAGAGTGCCGTGGCGTCATCTTAGCTCACTGCAACCTCACACTCCTGGGCTCAAGCGATCCTCCTGCCTCAGCCTCCCGAGTAGCTGGGACTGCAGGCGTGCGCCACCATGCCCGGCTAATTTTTTCTATATATTTTTAGTTGTCCAATTAATCTCTTTCTAATTTTAGTAGAGACGGGGTCTCGCTCTTGCTCAGGCTGGTTTCGAACTCCTCAGCTCAAACAATCCGCCGCCCGCCTCGGCCTCCCAGAGAGCTAGGATTACAGGCGTGAGCCACCGCGCCCGCCGCCACCTATTTTCTGAGATCGCCTGCAGCTTGACTGTTAAAAAGAACCCAGAAAGGAAAAGGAGAGAACCTGGTTTGAGTTCTGTTTCTGCTCCTGTCATGCCACGGAACTGTCCTAGGTTGTTCCCTCGTCTGGCCATCCATGTGGATGGCACAGTTTCTTAAAGACCCACTCCCAATCTGAAAGTGCAATTCTAAATGCTAGGAAGATTACAGTATCATCAAAAAATTAACTTGAGCTGTAATTTCTACCCCACAAACATGAGCCCATTTTAAATGGACGGTGTGAGAGCTTTCACGGGTGCACCATCCAGGTCTCCAGCACCGCCACAACCACGAGGATGCTTCCAGCAGGGCTGAAAGTCCCCCAGGGCCTCCTGCAGTCAGCCCCACGCTCACGCCTGGCGCCACAGGCAGCCACTGACCCAATTTCTGCCCCTAGAGGTGGACTTCTCTTTCCTATGTGTCACATAAATGGAATCATACAACATGCCCCCTTGGTGTCTGGCTTCTGTCACTCAGCATGAGGTTTCTGAGAGTCACCCAAGCTTTGGTTTCAGTGGCTCATTCCTGTTTATCGTGGAGTAGTTTCCATCACATGGACCTACCGTGTGTATTATCCATTCGCCAGCTGACAGGCGTTTCAGTGGTCTCGGGGTTGGGGCTATTAAAAATACAGCTGCTGTGAGCATTTGAGTCCAAGTCTTGGTGTGGAAATATGCTTTCATTCCTCTTGGAGTGTTACCCAGCAGAGGGGTGGCTGGGTTGTATGGGAAGTGCATGTTTAATTTTATGGGACTGTCACACTGTTTTTCAGACTGGCTATACCATTTTACATTCCCACTGGCAAAGTATGCACATTCCCATTGCTCCGTATGATCGCCAACATTTGGTACTGTCAGTTTTAGCCATCATTGTGATTGTATAGGGTATCTCACTAAGGTTTTAATTTGCCTTTTTTTTTTTTTTTTGAGATAGGGTCTTGCTCTGTCACCCAGGCTGGAGTGCAGTGATGTCATCATGGCTCACTATAATCTCAAAATCCTGGACTCAAGCGATCCTCCTGTCTCAGCCTCCCAAGCAGCTGGGACTACAGGAACACACCACTGCACCTGGTCCTTGCATTTCTTTTATGACTAATTATATGAAACACACAAAAAGATGCTTACTGGCCACGTGTTTATCTCCTGACCACTTATAAAGTGGGTTGTTTGGTTTCTTGCCAAGTTATGAGTTCTTTATATATTCTAAATACAAATCTTCTGTCAAATATAAATTTGCAGTATTTTCTCCCAGTCTGTGGCTTTTCATCTTCTTAATGGCGTCATTCAGGGAGTTTTTCATTTTGCTGAGGTCTATTGATATTGTTAAGATATAGGTATATATATTTTTTGGTCTACATTCCCTGGCTCCTAACTCCCACAGCCCTTGCTACAGTAAACAGAATCTGACCTTCTCCTGCCCTCCTTTCACCTGCCCAAGGCAGGAGTCTAATCTGATTGTGGGTCACAAGACCCTCATTCCAGAGAGTCCTGCCCCACATCCTGGAGGAAGGAATGCTGCACAGAGAGGCCAAGAAGAATCTGAAGAGACAGGCTAGGTTTAGATCATACCTTTTTACAACCACATTTCAATACAGTTGTCCGTGTTTCAATCCCACCTATCCAATGAAGTCTCTATAAAAAGCCCAAAGGGGCCGGGCGCGGTGGCTCACGCCTGTAATCCTAGCACTCTGGGAGGCCGAGGCGGGCGGATTGTTTGAGCTCAGGAGTTCGAGACCAGCCTGAGCAAGAGTGAGACCCCGTCTCTACTAAAAATAGAAAGAAATTAATTGGACAACTAAAAATATATAGAAAAAATTAGCCGGGCACGGTGGTGCATGCCTGTAGTCCCAGCTACTCGGGAGGCTGAGGCAGAAGGATCGCTTGAGCTCAGGAGTGTGAGGTTGCTGTGAGCTAGGCTGACGCCACGGCACTCACCCTAGCCCAGGCAAAAGAGTGAGACTCTGTCTCAAAAAAAAAAAAAAAAAAAAAAAAAACCCCCCCAAAGGACAGGGTTCGGGAGCTTCAGGATAGTCGAACAGATGGAGGCTGTTCTCATCACAGGAAGGTGAGGAGAACTTATCCACGTGCTGTGAGAGGGGTGCACCCCAACTCCATGGGGACAGAAGCTCCTGGCACTAGGGACCCTTCCAGACCTCATCCTCCTATGTATCTCTCCATCTGGCTATTTGCGTCCTTTAAAATATCCTTTGTAATAAACTGGTAAGTATTAAATATTTCCCCTTATTTAACATTTACCGGTTTATTGTGAGTCGCTTTAACAAATTAATCAGATCCAAAGAGGGGGTTATGGGAACCCCAATTTATAGCCAGTCAGTCGTAAGTTCCAGAGGCTCAGGCTTGAGACTGGTGTCTGAAGTGGGAGAAGGAGCAGTCTTGGGGACTGAGCCCTCGATTTGTGGGATCTGATGCCATCTCCAGGTAGATGGTGTCAGAACTGAATCGAAGGACACCCAGCTGGTGTCTGTTGCAGAACTGATTGCTTGCTTGTTGGTTGGGAGAAATCTTCCACATTTGGTCACAGAAGTCGTCTGTAGTGGTGATTGTTTTTGGGTGAAAGAACAGGAAAAGGCACTCTGAGTTTGTGTTTTTTCCACTCACATTGACTTACTGTATTTTTTTTCTTTAAGGTTCGTGTTTTATGTAAGCCAAGAATACCTGGGCACGGGCCACCAAGCCTTTCTCCTGTTTTCTTATAAAAACTTAATAGTTTTAACCTTTATATCAGGTCTATTATCTGTTTCAAGCTGATTTTTGTGTATGGCGTGGGATCAAGGTTCATTTTTTCCCCATATGATGCTTCAGTTGTTCCTGTACCATTTTTTAAAATATAACCCTTTTTTCCATAAATTACCTTTCTGCCGATATCAGTTAGTCACGCACGTGTGGGCCTATTCTGGGCACTCTGTCCTGTCCTGATTTCCGTCTATCGTTCCATCAACGCCACATTATCTTGCTTACTGTGCTTTAGAGAAGTCTTGAAACAAGGTGGCAGGAGTCTTCCAACTTTGTTCTTTTACAAAATTGTTTTGGTTATTCCAGGTTCTTTGCATTTTCACATAAATTTTAGGATCAGTGTGTCAACTGCAACACAAAAGCCTGGGTGGGTTTTGCCCAGGGCTGTGGTCAGTGTGGGGAGAACGGACATCTCTACCTGGAGTCTGCCCAGCCGTCGGGGGGCTCTCTCTCACTCAGCTTCTTTACTTTTCTCACTCTTTTATAGTTTTCAATGTATACATCTTGCACATATTTAAACATTTATCCCTAAACGGTTCATGTTTTTTATGCCATTGTAAATGCACTTAAACACTTTTCATGTACAACTATTTCTAGCATATAGAAACACAATTGATTTTTGTATACAAACCTTGTATTCTGTGACCTTGATAAACTCTCAGCTTTTCTGTTGACTCCTTTGTCATTTTAATGTATACAACCATGTCATCTACAGAATAAAGGCAGTTTTTCTTCTTCCTTCCCAGCATGCCTGTTTTCTTCTTTGCATTACTGCACTGGACAGGAGCTCCGGACAATGTGGAAGAGATGCAACGAGAGCTAACGTCCTTGCTTTGTTCTGCACTAGGGGCGGGGGTGAAAGGGAGTGCTCCGTCTTCAACCAGTAACGACGTTAGCCGTGGGTTGTACACACGCCCTGTATCTGGCTGAGGAAGTTGCCCTCTATTCCTAGCCTGCTAGGATTTTTTATCATGACTCAGTATTGGTCAAATGCTTTTCCCTGTATTCACTGAGATGATCATTCGGTTTTCACCTTCATTCTGTTAATGGGAAAAATTACATTAATTGATTTTTCCCATGTTAACCAAACTTGCATTTCAGGGATAGCTGCCACTTGGTCATGATATATTTTTATATGTTAGTGGATTTAATTTTTGCAATGTTTTGATAAGGGTTTTTGTGTAACGTTCATGAAGGGCACTATCTGTAATTTTCTTGAAATGTCTTTGTGTAGTATTTGTATCAGGGTAATACTGGTCTCATCAAGAGAGCTGGGAAATGTTTCCATTTCCTTTATTTTCTACAGGTTTGTGTAGGACTAGTATTAT